ACAAAAATAAAGGTTTGGACATAAAGGAAACAATTATTCCCTTTATTTCGGCAGTTGGTCCTGATTAACTACAAGTCTGTGCTTACCACAGGAATTTACTCTAAATCGGCTGATTTTTTTCTTCTTATTTTCAGTCTGACACAGAAAGAAAAACATGAATGCAGTGAATCAACAGCATCTACCTTATAACCACTGGTATAAGATCCATCCAACTGATACATGAGGATGTTTTCCACGAGGACAGGATGCAGATGTTTGTCCCCGACACATCCTCACACAGAGGTTGTGGCATGTTTGAATCAGCAGCATGAGGGTTGTGTTTTATCTGGGGCAATTCTTCAGACCTTGGGCTCAGGGTGCCACACTTCAGAAGCCAGATGGAAAAAAAAAGAGCCAGACAAGTAGAGCAGAAAGTCTTTTGTTGAGGCTAATGACTTTCAGTAGGATCCATGCTGAGAGTAAGAAAGGCAATCCCACCCTTCCTCCTCAAGATGTTCTTTTCTCCTTATTCCCACTGCCTCAGACAAAGCCTACAAATTACTACCCTCACAAACAAATAGGCTGAACAATTTATATAATTCACTAAAGCATAAGTGACACAAACACCCTTAAATGCATGAGTTTAAATATATGCTGAATGTCCATTGGTGCCTAAACATAGCCTACAGTATGTAATAAGCAGGTGCATTCCCACTGGGGGTGACATTAGTGCATCTTATTATCCCATTAAGCCCATGATGCACTTTTCCTGGGTTGAAGCAAACAATTAGCATCATTATGATGCTGGCTAACAGTGTTTCCTTACTGGCTTAATTAGGACTGCAGCCACAGCAGCTAACCATCAGCGATTTGAGCACAGACTCTCTCAACAGGTGACCATCTGCAAACTGGGACAAAACACAAAGTAGAGGCAAAGATCACAAAAGGAGCAGTCACGACCAACACTTTGGATTAACACCAGTGTTTTAGCCTTATCCATGCAAACCAAGATAATACACAGAGGTCTTCAAACAAAAAGCAAAGGACATAAACTAAAATAAAATAAGTGCGCATGTGAAAAACCACAAGTATGGCTGAGGGATAAAGAGGAGTAAATGTCATATAATCAATAATCTTTGTAGAAGTAATGAGTTAAAAATCAAAGACAGACAGTCTGAATCCTTTTACAAAGTCTATGTAAAAACAGCCTGAAATGTGTCCCTGGACAATAATCGTAGTATCCCGTTTGGTAAAAACAAGTCTCATGACCTCCAGACAGAAAATCAAGCACAGATAAAAAAACACTGGAATAAAATGAACGATTTGTCTTTGGAAAAAAGGTTAACACGCTTTTGTCAAATGAAGATGATTGAAAAACTGCTACTTCGATGTGTTTCAGCGTCTTCAGGAAATTATAGACACACTTTATTCCAGTTTTGCTCATCCCCTCCTCTGAAGAGCACCGACTTTTTTTTTATAATTAAGCTCTCCTATTCTTCGGCTTGGCAGGAAGTCTTGCATGTTCCTCAATGTTACAGACCTTAACCAAAGCAAACACAGAGCAATGGTTTTAAAATGAAGAAATGGTCTGGCGCAAAGATGGCGTATCACTATTTTGAGACAAGGAAACCCTCAAAAAAGGGGGTGTGTCCAACGTCCATGGTACAAAACTTTCCTGATATCTGAAGAGCAAATATGTGAGTCAGCAGCCCCTCCCCACTAATATCTGGAAACATCAGTGTTTTTGCTAACACTGTTACATTGAGTTATTGTCTCTCCTTTTCACAGTAAGGTTGTGTTACCTACAGTGGTCACTAACCTGCTGTACATACAGTTCTATAACTATGTTATCATGTTCTGTCCATCACAGGGAACACCACCACATATTTCTCCTTACACTGTACTGTACCACCTTTGTGACCTCCTTTCCTGTGATGGGGAAGACAAAGCACCGCAGGGCAGGAGGAATGAGGTTGTCATTACATTGGAGGAGGCGTTTCTTTTGATTTGGTAGAAATAGGTTCTGCATTAATGGAGACATTCACAGGCTCGTCTGCCGCTTCAAAAGAGGGAAAAACAAAGGCTGGAAATGATCGCCCTGAGCGTTGTCCTCACACCAGAAACCTGTGATGGCTTTACATTATTCTACAGGAACATGCTGGAATATAAACGTGCTTATTTTGTTATTCAAATGATTTTTCTTTGTCTTCTAAATCCAAGCAGTGCTGTTTGTGGTTTATTTTGCTTAGAGTATGAAGAGATGAAAAGTTACAGCAACAGATCCAGCTCATCAAATACAGCAGCTTGTTTATTTGAGTCTGAACTTCTCTGAAATATTTATTTTGTTTTTGTGAAGGTTAAAAAAAACCTTTGTTAGTTTAAGGTGAAAAGCATGGTTTACAATCTACACTTCACTGATCCAAATCAGATCTGTCTCTGGTAGCAGCCCATCATGCACTGATCACCGGTCAGCCAATCACAGCTTTCCTTATATGCATCAAATATAAAACTCCCTAAAATCCTATGAGGTTCCATGTTGAGTTTTGATCAATGTTGTTCATGGATGGTGTTTGGTTTGGTGTCATTAGAAAAACGGACAAACTATCTTAACAGAAACAAGTTTGCAGCTTTTAAACTCAGCAGGAAGCACAGACAACGGGTTAAATAGCTTTTTGTGCTTTGTGCTGTTGGAAGAATATTGTGGAGACAAACATGATTGAATACAGCATGCAGCTACAGAGATGTGCAAGCAGGCTGTGGTAGCAAGTGGTGCAATAATGTTGTGTCTTTGCACAAAAACCTGCAGGAGGCCGTGAGGAATATCCATGAAGAAAGTGACCTTGGTGAATCATGCCTCCCTGTTGGATTTGCATCTCTGTTGTTGTGATTTTGCACAGCCTCAGCCTCTGGTTTATTCTGTGATTTATTTTGAGGTTTGTTTATCAGAGTTGTTCACAGAATCACATTCTTGGGCTTCTGGCAGGTCAAATGAAATGCTTGACTGTCTGAAGTCAGCAGGAAGAGATTTTTAGTTAGATGACTCAACTTTGGCAAGATAATCAAGGACAGGTCTGTCCACAGGGGGTGCCCAAATTCACACAAAGCAAAAATTTGTTACTTCTGTATGTGCTATCTGCTATAAAAATATCTAACCTCACTCTGAGATGGAGGACTTTGGTGTGAGTTCAAGGGTCTAATGGGAGGGTTCATTTGTGATACGCTTAGATGATAATACACTTCAGTGAGACTACACATCAAATGAACATTTCCTGTTTGTCAAATCTTAGTACAGTACATCCATCACACTCACATCACTGCAGCCCTGAGCTCCAAATAACACACTTCTCACATCCTCATTGTTAAGTTATTTTTTTTTATCCTATGTTTCATGTGTGTTTTCCGTTTTATTTTAATGCTCACCTCTGTGTCTCATTTCAGATCCTCTACTTCCTGCCCTCCTGTGTTCCCAGTGTGATTACCTGTCCCTCCCTAATGTGTTTCATCTGTGTCTGACTATCTTCACTCTCCTTGAGTATTTAGTCTCTGAGTTCCCCTGTTTCAGTGCTAGTTTGTCTCTTTCTAGTGTGAGTTACATCCCAGCCTTCTTTCCATTGATAGAAATCTTTTGTGAATGACCTTTGCCTTCTTTTTGGACCTGTGTGAGCTGTCTGATATTGTACCTTTGCCTGATTTTTTTGAGTAAAGCCTTTTGAACATTATACCTGGTGCCAGAGTCTTGCATTTTTGTCCTTTGTTTGTGCTCAGTGTGATAATACTCTGACCCCTACTTGGCACCTCAACATGCCTTTGACAGATAACCAGAGTTCCTTGTAAAGTGAAGATGACATCCTCCTTCATCATCAAACTTCAGGAACTGGACCGAAGAGGAAGAGGAGTTTCTCAGCTATGTGATCAAATTTTTCATGCTGTGGTTTCATGTGCAGTGTTGCTCAGTGTGTCTGATACCTGCTGAATGTCTGACTCTCTTCACCATAGTAGTGATTTCAAGAATGCTATTACTAACCAATCATTTTAGAAAGTTTTCATGTTAAATCCTTGACTTGAAGAACTTCCTCTTCCTCTATGCTACTACAGTAATTCTTCATTTAGCTGCATGATAGTCCTTAAGCTTCATTTTGAGAATATTTTTTTGATGCCAGGACACACACAAGCTGTGATGATAATCAGGCAGAAATTAGATAAGAGCTGCAGGACCAGGTGCTGGGCTCTTCAATGCATAAAGGAGGGGTAGCAAGGGTAAATGTAATGATTAGCAGCTAGCACTTTGTGCCACACAATCAGCGTCCCATGCATCATTGGAATTAACCACATCTGCATCCACTCCTGGCTGTAAGATGGTCAGCTAATCCTCATCACAGACCATTCAAACTTTGGGAGAGGACTCTGATTGTAATGGAGAGCGCTCTGTCCATTACAGACAATCCATAAAGTTTTCAGAGTTGGAAGAGGTCTTGGAGTTCAGATGTTTGATTTGTGTGTATTTTTCTTTCTCAATTACAACTGTAGTTTTCTCTGAATGTAGCTCTGTGATTTACTGGTCACCTGTGCAAGACCGAGTTTTGGCACATTTGGTATAACTGTTGAAAGTTGGAAAACTAAATCTGATCTGATATGATCAAATCATATCGTGTGTACACTAACAGGACTCTTGCCAACCAGGTGAGCCCTTCTGGCACCTACAGTGGACCACCTTAACTGTATTGTTATTAATACATTAAATGTAATATAATTCGGTTTTAATATTTGCCAAACTTGCAGAATCTGTAAAAGCCACTTTTTTTTATCATATCTCTCTTAAACTTTAGATTTTTATGCTCTTCTGACTGCTGCTACAACAACCACAGACACCAAAATACTGTAACAGCCTAGTTGTGCTAAATTTGCCACAGTGCTGAAGGGACCCAGTCTGAATCCTAATGTCCTGACAGTACCAGCAGCCTGACCTTTTTAAATCCATGTGAGCTGCCTCGTCTCTTTGTAGGAAAGTCTTTCTATGAGAAATGGAAGAAACTGAACACAGAGGGCCAAGGGAGGGAGATGAAGACCACCTGAGACACAGGATCTCTTCTGTGGGTCTGAGAAAGGACAACAGAGGTGTAATGAGGATGGTGATACACATCAGCCTGGAGTCATGTTACATCACCTGAGAGGCCCAGAGAGCAGAGACGAAGAATAGAGCATGAAACGAGCAGGGAATAGAGGATGGCATGCCTGACTGTGCTGCTCTGATTTATTGCCTTCTTTCTTTCTCTTGTTTCCAGCGGCACAAACCTTCACCTGAACGATGCAAAGCAGTCCGACTGCTCGCCACATGCTGCTGCTAACAACTGGGTGTACAGGGATGACAGCAGCAGACGGTTCAGTAGTGAGGCTACGACACAAAAGCTAGTGAAACACGAGATCCTGCCACATCCCCGGTGTACAAACAAGACATGGCTGCTGCAAGGAAAGAGTGTGTTCTCTGCAAAATCTCTGTTTCAGAGCGTCTGGATGATGCTTATCTCCCCCTGTCAAGATAACTCCTCCTGTGTGAGGAGGACAAAAGGAGGAGCACAGAGGTCAGCAGGAATACAGGAGGAGCTGTGAGGAAAATATTCATATGTCTGAGAGCGGTTCAAGCCTCAAATATTCTCAGGATGGTGAGGTGAAATGGTAAATATCTACATATTCTAATAAAGTCAAAAGTGTTATGAGCAGTCAACCTCCTGGTTCATTCTGACCTCTCATTGGTGTAGCTGCCACAACATCCCGCTGTGATTGGCTTTTAAGGTAAATGTCCTAAAAAGACTGACTGTCACTCTGCAGAAGGACTGAAGCAGCGTTGAGGTGAAGAATTGTGAGGAGCATTTAGTACCTGGTGGAGATAAATGTAAATGTTGGGTTAACATCCATCAGAATGATTAAAAAAAAAAAGAAACTCTCAATGTAAACTGGTGTAGCGCTCAGTTTTCTTTACTGTTCCAGTATCCCCATATTTATGGAGTTGTTTACATCTGTGTTGTGCTCTGGAGCAGCACATGGTTCGATCTCAGTTACCAGATAAAAAGCCAAAGTTATATTTACAGGTTGGTGTATTTGTGACCAAGTGGTTGCAGAATCATCTTTAATTAACTGTCGTTTTCCCTCTTCAATCACTTCATCAGTTTATCGGTAGTACTATTGATATTCCACATTTTGCCATTTTCTCTTTTGTGTTTGTGTATCCAGGTCACGTCAGAAACAGTTTATTTTTTGTCTGCACACTGCCTGCTGTTTCTCTTCATTGACTGCTACATGCTACATCACATGATGAATCCATCTAAATGTTTATCCATCTGTGTATCAGGCACTTCCACATTCAGTAATCACTGACAGAGTTACTCACATGCAATTTAATCTGATATTATGAATGTATTTAACAAACTGGCCAATCTTCCCTCACCATGCTCTTTTGTTGAAGACCTTTCTTTGCTGTGTATGCAGTGATTCAAAATGACTGCAGTGACATGGTTTAAAACAAAGCTGCCTAAAATGAGACTTTCTCATGAAGAGTCAAGGTCTTCTGGTCTGGTAATGTATTAAATAATGCAAAAACATGAGAAACACTTCTACGATACTTCTTTCTTTAGCTCCTCTACAAAGCCTCTCATGTTCACAAATCTTCAAACTTTCTTCTGGGTGTTTTAACAGCATTATTTTAGGTCATGTTTGTCATGAATATGTAAATGCTGCATGTTTACTCTCATAATACTTCTGTGCTTTCATGGATGGTGGTTGGAAACCCACAGAGGACTGGGACTAACCCCATTAGCACACTGCTGGATAACCATGCAGAGCCCAGGGGAGGTCATTATGAAGGAGCTGTTTGCTATCTTCATATCTTTAATTAACATATGCAATGCTGATTACTTCTTTCAGCACTTAACCTAGATCTATATTTGAACCCGTCTGTAGCATGAAAAAAAAACCTGAGAGAAACAAAAGAAAGTATTACAGAGTTTATACATCATCCTCCTCAGTCAACAGGTAAAGAAATCACAATACCAACTGTGATTCTCTTTTCTTCGCCATCAGATCCTGTTTGGGAGAGACGTGCTTGGGTTTGAATGGCAGGAAAATGTGACAGGAACCAGTGTGGGATTGTGCAGTTTCCCAGCAGTGCACCACATCTTCATGAAAGCTCTGTGACGAACCAGCTGCAGAGTCCCGTTTGCACTTGATGGCTGCATATTTACCCCGGAAAAGCTGCAGGAATAAAGAACAATTCAGTCACAGGGTTCCTCCTCTGGGTCATTTTCCCGGCTCACAGAAAGACTAAATGAAAAGAAAGAAGAGGAAATGATGTGATAGAAATGACAACAAAGCAGAGGAATGTTTGATATACACTTGGACTGTGACGGTGGAGTGCAAAGCCAAATGTGTTTGTTTGTGATAAAACAGGTACAAGCCTTTCATCTGCAGGAAAATACCAAAGAAAGGCTTGATCTTCCAGTGCAATCATTCGCTTCACTCTGTATTTTTCATGCTGAAGAAGCACAAACAACAATTTCTCCTGGTCCCCTTCAGCCAGCGCATTGTCTCCCCCCTTTGATAACATCATGTTGTTTGGAGACGGTCGCTCTGATTTGCATTCCTTTGAAAACGTCTGAATTCATCGGAGGGAACAGGTGGGGAGCTGCTCGGCTCTGTTTGTGGACAGACTCAAGTCAATTCCCAGCCAGTCTTTAATTCAGCTATTGGGAAGCGACGGGCGAGTGTTCAAACAAATGCCAGCTTCACTTATCGGGGCGCTGCCTCATCCTTCCATGTGTCAATCTCTTGCCAAGCAGTTTCGCAGACTGGAGAGTGTGCAGAAGTTTGATTTTCTATGGGCCACTAGCCCAACCTCCAAACAGACCAGCAGCCTCTCCTGCCCCAGTTTGTTCAATCACATTATTAAATAGACGGAACAAGTCCCAGCAGATCCTTCTCATTGAATATTGAATGCCGTTACGAGCGCAGAATCACACATTCAGCTTTAAGTGATAGACGGAGCTTAGTAAAAACAGATCTGAGAAATGTTATTGACGTTTGATGAAATTCATCAGTAGAGGCTGTTTCAGAGGTTAGATAGACTTTTTTTAAAATCAAAATAAAATAAAAATAAAAACACATCTCCAGTTTAAAGAAGTCAGACTGTAACATTTAACAGATAATTGAACCCCTTCTCAGCAAATGTGTTCTTACATTAATATTTTCACAATTACTAATTCCAGTTAAGTGTGATATTCATTTATATAATCCTGATTCCTATAAAAAAGAGACACTGTGAAGCTACATTTACATAAACTGTAAATGATCCCCCTGTTTTGATCTTTATTGGGCCAGATCTCAGTTGACCTGCTAAACAAAAAACAACTGACAAACATGTTAGAAAGAGGCTGACTGGTTTTATGCCCAACAATGAAATCCCCAACAGCTTTGGACCTTTCAATGCTACAATGGATCTGCTTCATCTAGTATCACGTCTCTTCTTAAGTCAAGGTTTTGTTTACTTCTACTCATTAATGCTGTTCAACTTCAGAGTCAAAGTTCGACATGTGAACTGTGGAACATGTTTAGAACACTTTGGCCAGTTTGAGTCTGACAGAGGTGTTTGCATGCAGGAGAAAATCAACGCCTAATTTTTGGAACAAGCATCTGGTTTTAACTGTGCTGGTCACAGGCCATATTAGAGCTGTATTTGGATTCTGATCAGCAAGCAGCTCATAACCAAACCTTTCTAGTCTCAACATCTTTCACTGGCAAACCAGTTCAAAGCTTGAACTGGAAACACCTTCACAAATTTGTTGGAGTCTATAAAGTTTTGTTAACCCTGCAATTCCTGCAAGAATGATGAGAGTATACTCAGATCACTGCTCTGAGTATATTTGTCCCAGTCTGGTCAGAATTATCTCACTTCACTTGACAAGTATAGATAAACAGTTTATTTTAAGATTTTTTAAGCGACAAAAAAAAAAAAGGGGGGGGGGGTTCTGATGGGTGAAAGTATCTGCAATGCAGCAAGCAACGTTTACGTGTAGGGTGCGTGAAACAAAGATGTCATGATTGAAGAAGCTTTACAACTACTTATTGCTAACTAAATATAAAACAATACACACACTAAGATATATGATTGTATAACAGTTATCAGAAAACCGTGCTATTAGAGTTTTCTGAATTTATAAAAATCCTGCTATGTTTCCAAGCAGACATCCTGGCATGAAGACTAACAGCAGCACTGGCTAGTCTTCATATCTTCGCCAGTTAGATGGTTCAAGTGTTTTGTGTTTTATCTGTGAATACCAAAAAACAAGTTGGGGCAGGGGTTGGTAGTTGTTGCATGCTGCTGAAGAACAAGTCAGCAGCACAGCATCGACCTTTGGCTGGAAAATATTGAACTGATCCGCTCCTCACAGACCACCAGTCACTCTGTCCTGTTCAACTTACAGGGAGTTTAGACCTCACTGCTGGATCTGGACTGCATCAGGCACATGTATGGTTCAGGACTAAAGTTATGCACCTTCACAGCTCATTCAGACTCACGTCCTCGTGTGCATGTGCTTGTTGCTGTGTGTAAATAACTGGTGTGAATTTGGGCTCCTGGTGGTTGTTTGGTGATGTAAAACAGCAGACTCTTGCCAGGGTTTCCTGCTGTTCATGGAGCAACGCGCCAAGGCTCTGACAAACATAAGGTACCAGCTGGTCAGCATCGTTTCCACAGAGGTAATTTGCAAATGGAAAATGCTTTCGTGCCACTCTCTGATGAGCATGTGTGCACACGTTACTGAAGTATGAGGAAGCCTGAGGTGGTTTGATACGTCCAGACCAGAGAGAAGAGTTTGACGTTTTTCAGTTCTGACTTTTTTAATGCTGTTTTTCAGTTCTGAGTGTAAGCGTAACTGGGCCGGCCTGGAGATCACTGCATGTTCCGCATGACTCTGTACCTGATCGAAAGGATCATGCAGGAACCAGAAGATGAAGGGATTCAGAGAAGGGGTGTGACAGGTGGTAAGCTGAAGTCAAATGAGTTCAGGGGAAGTTACAGACACTCTGCTTTCCTTAACTTTAGGGGAATATTGGGAATTATGAGTATTCCTATATCTCATCATGTGAAAATGTAAAAGCTGCATGATAGAGGTGAAGGTTTTCTCGGCATCAGAGTTAAAAGTGTGTGATCTTTATACCTTCATTTACCCCAGTGATCGTTTCTAATAACAGATTTATACAATTTATTTTGAGATCCTTGAACAGTAAACTTAAGTGAAAACACAGACTAGTTATACAGGAACAGCAGGGTGATATATACAGAAAATATCAAGTAACTTCCCAACAAGGGAAATGCACAATCTGATAAAATGATCTACAAATTGAAACACTGAAACACAAAAACAGGAAAGTACAGAGGGAAGTCTCCACAGGTCCAGATTGAATGTTAAGTTGTATTTAACACAATGAGAGTGACAGATATTAGCAGATGTCCTCTGACCGACCGCAGCTGCAAACCAGAAGATGCAGATGAACAAAAGACACAGTGCTGACAGTTTTCTGGGGGATTCAGTCAGAGTTTTAGGGCACCACTGTCTTTG